AAGAATCCAAATAGTCAAAACAATTTTTTAGGGGTGGGAGGTGGGGAAGAACAAAGCTAGAAACATACTTCCTAATTTCAGTGTAATAAAAATATATTACAAAGCAATGGTAATTAAAAAAGGTAGTACTGGCATAAAGACAGATATATACACAATGAAACAAAATAGAGAGCCCAGAAATAAATCCATGCATATATAGCCAAATGATCTCCATTCAGGGTGCCAGGAATACACAGTGGGGAAAGGAGAGTCTCTTCAATAAATGGTATTGGGAAAACCGAATATCCACATGCAAATGGAATTGGACTGTTATCTTATACATATACAAAAAAAAAACAACTCAAAATGGATTCAAGACTTAAAATGAAAAAACAGAAGCTATAAAACTCCTAGGAGAAAATATAGAGGAAACACTTTATGACATTGGAGTTGGCAATAATTTCATGGATACGACACCAAAAGTTCAAACAATAAAAGCCAAAATGGACAATTGATACTACATCAAACTAAAAAGCTTCTATGCAATAAAGGAATCAACGAATAGACTATAGAGGCAACTCACAGAATGGGAGAAAGTATTTGTAAATCATATATCTGATAAAGGGTGGTTTCTAAAATATATAAGGAACTCCTACAACTCAATAACAAAAGCATTAAAAGCCCAATTGAAAATGTGGAACTTGAATAGACATTTCATCAAGGAAGACATACAAATAGCCAACATATATATGAAAAGATGCTCATTATCACTAGTCATTAGGGATGTGCAAATCAAAACCATGATGAGATATTACCTAACACCTGTTAGGCTGGCTATAAAAATAAAAAAATAAAAAAAGGCCATAAGTGCTGGTGAGGATGTGGAGAAATTGGAGCCCCTTTACACTACTGGTGGCAATGTAAAATGACACAGCCGCTATGGAAAACAGTATGGAGGTTCCTAAAAAATGTAAAAATAGAACTACTGTATCATCCATCAATCCTACTGCTGGATATTTATCCAAAAGAATTGAAATCAAGGATCACCACTCATCATAGCTAAGATGTGAAGCAACCTAACTGCCTGCCAATATATGAATGAATAAGCAAAAATGTGGTATATATACACAATGGAATATTAAGACTTAAAAAGGAAGACAATATGCCACAGCATGAACCTTATTTTACTAAGTGAAATGAGCCAGTCACAGAACAAATAGTATATGATTCCACTTATATGAGGTCTGAGGTATCTAAGATAGACTCATGGAAGCAAAGACTAGAATGATGGTTGCAGATGCTAAGGGGTGGGAAAGGGACAGTGGTATAACATTTCAGGTGTGTAAATAAATAAGTTCTTGGGATCTAATATATAACATTGTGATGATAGCTAACAATACTGTATTGTACACTTTAAAAATCTGTTAAGAGGGTAGATGTCATGTTGTGTTCTTACACCATTAAAATTAAATTAAATTTTTAACTAAAAAAAAAAAAGATGCATGTTGAAAAACCCAATGAACTGAAAAAGAGAATTGAAATTTCAATAGTTTCTTTTGGAAATTGAATGAAATAAATTATGATATACTATTGCCTCTGTCCCACAAACACATTGCCCGACCCTATGTGTATTTGAATTTGCAACCTTTATCTTAGAGTCACTGGTATATAGCATCATGGACAATGAGAATGGAATTTGGAGGAGTGGATGAGATCATCTAGGGAGTGTGTCTAGGGAGAGAAGAAAAGTAGGTCAAGGGCAAAATTTTAGGGAAATACTTGAAGGTAAGAGCCTGAGAATGATGAGAGAGAGGTTAAAGGAGAACTGGAGCAATGTGGTAGCATTAAAGCCAGGGGAGCAGAAGCACAGAGGAAGAAGAGATAAATACTATCAAATGTTTGCTCTATACTATACCGTATGACTCCCAGAAAGGAGGCCAGTCCAGCTACTGCATAGCTTAGACCAGAGATCCCCACACCACCTTGGCTCACAGTGCCTTTAAGTCTAAGTCATTTTTAACAATGCTCCAAAGTTCAGGGGAATACCCAACAGTTCCATGAAATAAGTATTTGGTCCAAACATCTTAATACAAATATTTATATCCTTCAAACTTAGTAACCATTTGAAAAAATACTGCATCTAAACTGAAAGAAATTTCAGTTTTTTTAATTTCATTCTTTAAAAGCTACCGTTACTTATTTATGGGACATAGGAGCCTCTTGAGCATTTCACAAATTCTCCCATCTTCTCCAACTGACATCCTCATTACCTGCTCTACATTAATTTTTACACAGAACTTGCTTTTATCACAGCAACCACAGAAAACCCAGCATTGAAAGAGATGTCACTGAAAGAAAGGTAGCTCATCTAATGTGATATTGTGAACCACTCCTAGCCACTGATTCCCACAGTGTCTGATAGAGGTGGAGACACCCCCCCCTCCCCAGAATCCCTGTGGGTTTGCTGTACTTCCCTGGGGCACCTTGGCACACACTTTGGGAACTGTGGGGTTAAAGCTGATTTAGAATCCTATCATTTATATACTTGTTTCTATGGAGATGCCTGATCTGCAATCCATTCAACTAACCTATAAGTGAATTTATGGTGCACAACTGGTTTGTGATTGGACTAACTGCTGCCACTGCCAGTTCTCCTGACCCCAGACTAACAGGAAGTAGGATCACCTAAATAAATATAAAGGTAAACAAAGTTTAATGCCTTCAGTCCTCTTCCCTAACAAACCTTTTCTCTGAGTTAGCAAATATTTTCTTTTCCTTTCTCGTGCTGTCTTCTGAATAAGAAAAAATCTGGCCACTCAGTGTATATCCTATATAATAAAAGGCTAATATGCAAATTGTCTCCTCAACCAGGAGTTCAACCAGCAGGCTGGCTGGCCAACCACCCATGTCCCCTGCCCCTGGCCAGGCTGGTCGGACCCCACCCATGCACAAATTCATGCACCAGGCCTCTAATGTATATGTGTATATTGTGATATTGTGTGTGTGTGTGTGTGTGTGTGTGTGTGTATTCTGAATGGCCAGATTATTATGCGTTCAGAGATCATAATAATCTGGCCACTCAGTGTATAATAGAGAACAAAAAGAAAAGTAAGAAATTGGACTAAACTTTTTAATATTATAAGCCATACCTTTTTCATGCTTTACTCTTGCAAAGACACCATGATGTCTATTAATCAAATTGCAGTTATTTCCCCATAATTTGTTTTCCTATTTTTATTTATCAAACACCAAGAGCCTCTTATTAACAACAGTGAACTAGTGCTACCACATATCTTCCAAAGCCAAAACACATGATGTCTCAGTTCATTGTCATGACAAGTAAGTGAATTATTTCTGTTTAACATCTTAGAATACTGAAACAGCACGTACACTTTTTACTAGACCTCCGCTGGTTACTTTGCTGGGCCATCTCTTCAAGCTTTTGCCCTCAGAATCTGTGACTTCTCTAACCGAGCATGGGAGGTGGTGAGTGGGAGCAGGGGACCCCAAGGCCATTGCCACCATTCTCTCTGCCAACCCAGGAGGACTGCTTACCCCATCCTAGCTTATTCAGCCTTTCTGTCCAGGGACTTAGTTAGCAAGCAACTCCAACAGATGCAAACAGTGGACTGGACACCTGACTTCAAGTCACTGTTCTGCCCTGCTCTTGTCTGCACTGGAAGTGTGAGGGAGGCAAAGGCTGTGCCCAAAGCTGGAGGAGTGTTCAGAATGGCTTGTTGCCCAGCCACACGCACAGTCCCCTGTTCAGGCCCAGCCCACGTTACTATCATGAAAGAATCCTGGCCTGGGGCGAATTGGAGCGAGCAGGTACTCCATAGGAGCTACACCCCCCACAGCATACAGGACTCCCCACGCGCACCCTCATCATTCACCTCTCATGTGCCTTCCAGAAGCTAAGATACAGGTTTCCCTTGATCACCCTTCCTCTCCTTTCCTCTCTCCCTTCTGCAAGTCTGTCATTTTCTAAAATGCCTTGGTGCAAGCACGTTAAGGCTGAGGGTATCCAATTGCTCCAACAGCCCCAGAACCTTGTGTCTTTCCTCTCCTCATAAAAGCTGAGAATGTTCCTCTTTGATTTCCAAAGCCCCCAGCATGCTCATGCGGTGCCAGAAGGGGCAGCTTAGGTTGGCTGGCTGGCAGTTGTGCTATGTCTGGCCACCATTTAGAAAGAAGCTTTCTGAATCTGAGCATTTAGGTAGAAAGTGGGAAAGTGTGGCTGTATGAAAGAGCAATTGATGTTAACTATTCATGCTCTGTTCCTTGTTAATCAGAATCAGTAACCCCTATTGTTTAGCTGCAGCTCTGGCTTCTTAACAGGGTTGTGCTGAAGGAACTGGATACAAAACAATGTCAACCACACACACACACACACACACACACACACACCACTCCCATCCCCACACTCCCAGACGTGAGTACTTATATGTTTGAAGTGTTTCCAGCTAACATTGTGCAATTCAGCATTATTAATTTCTCTGGGATAGTTATCCTTCCATCAGCGTTTTACAACTATTACTATTTCTTCCCCAACCCCCACCTTTTCCTTTTCTCATGTTGAATTCAGCAACTTTGTCCTTACTTAAAACCCATATAAAATAGTATTTTGATCAGCATGTCTTAAACAATTCTGAAAGTGAATTGCAACCTATTTCTATTTTTCAGAAATAAAATTATTTTATAAAATAGAGAAGAAATAGACTATAATTGAATAAAATATGATAATATCATAGGTTGCTTTAGTATCAACTTTGAAGTCATAGAAATAGTTTCCTGAGCTTTTAGGAAATAAACATTTTATATTTTTATGTGTTGAGAGGAAAAATAAAAATGGCACTTAAAAGCTTTTTTCCCTCTTATTTTTGTAGCTATATATTTTTCAAGTTTTTTTTACAAAGAGAATGTTTTACCATTGTAATAAAAATAATAAAATTGATATTTTTTAAAAATGGCTGAGCAGTTGCTGAATTCTATGTTTCAGAATCCACCAGGTTCTCCCTTACCTATGTCGTCTGCAAGAGGAATGTTGGTGAAGGTGCTGTCCTCCTCTTCTTCTTTGCTGGGCCCGTCCATCTTGTTCTCTTTTCAGGTCTGTCAGTGAGGAAAGTGAGGGCAGGGAAAAAACGGCAGTCTCCCCATGTGATCGCCCTTGTTAAATCATTAATAAATGAGCGTCCAAGAAGGTGCTATCTGATCCTTCCACTAGCCACCCTCTTCCTGCTTGCCACCTGAGAAGGTCCTACCTGAGCGCTATGTTCTTAACTGGAAATGGTTAGAGATTCAGGTGAAAAAGCCACAATCTTTACCTGCAGCTGTTGAGCTGATACTGGTGCTGTTCTCTGGCTAGATGCCAAACCTGGCTTTCAGTCCCATGGCAATTTCCTCGGGCTGAATGGCCCAAGAACATTGCCAAAAAAAAAAAAAAAAAAAAAAAAAAAAAAAAAAAAAACCCACAAAAAAGCACCAGGCTGGGGCTGGGGGAAGAAATGGAACTATATATGATTAGCATATATTTTAAGCATCTACAAGAAACAAGGATTTTGATCAGTGACCTAGCAGCATGACTTGCTCACAGAGCCTCAATTTCCTGTCCTATACCAGGAGAGGTCTGTGGTAAAGATTAAAAGTGCGTAACAGGCACCTGATAAATGTCAACCACAATACGAACCACAGATGATCAGACATATGTGAGGAAAAAAGATTCTCTATGGATTGAGCTCATCGATGCCCTCTCCTATTACTATGTATATACCTTACCCCGTGAAAGGTCATTAAAATGACAGGGCCTCCCTTTCCTATTTCTGGAGGAGCCCAAGAGGCGGAATGTTGGCCTTGCCAGCCTTTAGGGCGAAACGTGCCTTTGTTAAAGGAGGTAGCATTCTTTTAAACTGTTTTTTGGTCCCCTGGTCCACATTCATATGCAAACTCAAAACTATTTGAGGATTTCATGTAATTCCTCTTTGGAGGGAAAAAACAACCAAATTTGATAATGAAATTTAAGCAAATATTAAAATTGAGTTACTACATTCTGCCCTAAGTGCTTTGATACATAGGATATTTTTATTCACTCAAGTTCACTGTTGTTTTATTCACTCAAGCCAAATGGATGTGAGCTATTGGAAATTCTGGATGTTATCAATTAAATTCCCTAGAATAGAATTCCTCCTAATTTTCCAATTACATTATACAAATATTGAGTGTTTTTTTTTTTTTCTATACAAGATGGGGACTTTGGAGGGTTCAAAGTAAGGATAGCTATTGCTGTTAATAAGCTTATACCAAAGCTCAAAGGTAAGAGTCCTGGAGGTTTACAGGAGGGAAAGAGTATTTCTGGCTGGCAGGTCTTGAAAGACTGAGAGGTGACACATGAGATGCATAATCAATGACAAATGGGATCCAACAGGCATACATGGTCATGTGGTGAGTGCTGTCTCAGTGAAGGGGCATGGGCAAAGGCTCAGAGTTGGAAAAGCATTAGCACGGTTGGGAGCCAAGGTGGAATATAGGTTAAGGCCATATGTAAGAGAGCTAAAGCAGTATCTAAGAGAGCTTTGAAAGCCAGACTACGTTAGTCCAAGTCCTCTAAGAATCAGACACTAAGAGAAGAAATAGGGAAGAGGTCAGGAAAGGCTAGGAAAGCCTCAGGCCATGATGCAAGACTGACCCAGAGCAAAGATACAACAGGGTGGAAGGTCTAGCTTGTCCTTCAGACTAAGGAAGTTCTGACTCGAGCCAGAGTGGAACATAGAGGAGTCCTGTGCCTCCCAGAAATGGCCTTCCTTAGCATTCTTGCAACACTTAGTCACTAGCTATGAGCAGCTGGTGGGAAGGGAGGCCTCTGTGCAAACATGGATTTCAGATCACAGCAGCTGGGTCCCCTCGTCAATTATACTCCCTGTAGTTGGAGGTTAACAAGGCATGAGATCATGGCCATCATATGACTTTTTTTTTTTTTTTAAAGTAACTGTATACACTGAGTGGCCAGATTATTATATGATCTCTGAAAACATAGTTAAGTTAAAGAAGTTAGAGACAAAAAAATCACATTTTATATTATCCTTTTTAATATGATAAATTCAGAATAGGCAGGTCTACAGAGGCAGAAAGCGAGCTGGGGGGAGAGGAAATGTAGGATGATTACTAAATGTGTATGGGGTGTTTTTATGGGATGATGAAGTGTTTTAAACAGGAGAGGTGGCTGTTTAACCATACTGGGAGTAGGTTAAATGTCACTAAGACATATACTTTATAATGATTAACTGCAAGTTTATAAATTTCACTTTACTTTTTAAAAAGGTTAAGAAAATCAAGACAGGCCCTGGCTGAGTAGCTCAACTGGTTCTAGCATTGTCCTGATATGCCAAGGTTGTGAGTTCAATCCCTTGTTAGGACACCTACAAGAATCAATCAATGAAGGCATAAATAATAAGCAAAACAACATCAATGTCTCTTTCTCTTTTTTCTCTCTCAAATCAATAAATTAAAAAAAGAAAAATGCAACTAAGAAAAAAAAAAGATCAATGGTTTCCTGTTTCCCCATAATATGAATGAATAAATTGAATTAAGAACCCTAAATCACAAAATGCTCTATAATTACAAGCTAACATCAGACTAGTCTACCATGTGTCATAGAATTAATAAGGCTAGAATGGACCTTGTATAATATCTACTGTGTCTTCTAGAATTAATAAGGCTAGAAAGGTTACGGTAAGGATACAAATCTTCATTGTGATACAAATCTTCCCTAAAACAGATGCAAATGAATAAACACGAAGGTTAATATGTAAGAAATCATCTGTAATTTTTAAATGGGTATGTGAGTTATAAATGTGTGTGTGCATGTGTGCATATGAATGGGTATTGGGGGTAACAGAGTCAAAGAAAGTACAAAATGAGGAGAATTAGTAAACTAACCAGGATTCTCATAATCCCTTTGGCATGATCTCAAAATACCAACACAATAATGAAGCACATTGGAAGCCAGTGCTTGTTGTGGGCTTTCAGAGTGTTTTCTGAGCAACAGCCCCGGAAACATCTCTAAGGGCTCTGAGTACCAATTATGACATCTGAAATGTGTGTAATCAGTAGATTCCTGGAGAGAAACTGGCATCTCTAAAGTAAGGGCTAAGCATTCCTCTGCTGGATACAAGGTTTTCTTTCTTTAGGGGCAATTTCACATGGAACTATTTGGATATTTTTGACAAATTTGTGCAAATTGGATTACTTCAGCCAATTAGCTATGAAGGGGGAGTGATGGCAGAATTTTACTTGTATTATATGTAGCTAATAATAATAGCTAGCATTTATTGAATGATTATTCTATGCTCAGCACTATTCTAAGTATTTTATTCATAATGATCTCATTGTTCCCCTTAATACTCCTATAAGGAAACAGAAACACATGGACAAGATAATTTGCCCAACACCCACAGTCAGGAAGAGCCAGAGCTGGACTTATACCCAAGCAGTCCAGGTCCAAAGTCCACATTCCAACCACCCTGGAAGGGGATGATGGGGCCTCAAATCCACCCCATACAGTGCAGGCCAACCCACACCCCAGACCTACCTTTTTCTAATTTGCATATATGCTCGTGGTGCCCTACATCAATGCAATGGGAACTATATTTTTTGTTGTTGTTAATCTCCAGTGGGCACAAAATGTGTTTAGAAATTTAATCTTTGCATTAAGGAGAAAAATTGCCAGCACTTACTTCTATATTTGATGATTCTTCTTTATTTGTAACATATTTTTCAAAGGAGAGCTTATCCTTATTTTTGTGCCCATACCTTACTAGGTATTTATTATTGTTAACACCTCCAAAGTCAATTGCCTCTTATTATTAAAAAATGTCTACTGTTGAGGAGAAAAATAAAGTCATGAATAAAATCTGACTTCAGTAAATTTTCACATATCCTCCTAGGAACCAAGAGATTGATACCTGCTTGTGCGGAACTCTGCAGTCCCTGTCTGAAAAGCTTCACCACTTGCTTACTAAGGTCAGTCTGTTCCTGTTATTCTGTCTGTGTTGACGCCCTCTGGTGGTTTAACTTTAATTTTATATGAACTTTAATTTTAAATGCTTTTAACAAAGTGTTTTGAAGCCTTGACTTTGCCTAATCAAAGTGAATGACAGATTTCCCCTGGTTATGTGCCATGATACCAAGGAAAGGACTTATTGTCCAGGTGGCAGTGGTGATTTTGTAAACAGACATCAGCTTGAATGCTATTGATGAATAAAGCGTTTTGCAAAATTTTGGTTTGAGGTATAACATTATATAGTAAAGTGTGCAAATTATAAGATTATAGGTATACTAAAGGCCCGGTGCACGGTTTCGTGCACATTGAAAGGAAATTAATTAGAAGGTGGCCAGTGGGGCAGAACTGGGCAAGACGGGCCAGACACATCCTGGAGCCAACCTCCTGAAGTCCCACCCTGACTAGCTGCACCTGGGGTAGTACTGGGGCTCGAAGGGCATCTGCAGACTGAGTGGGCTCCCTCTGGCAGGTGGGGTCCTTCAGCCTGCCCTGCGGGGATCGGGCTCCCTCCTCTCTGGTTCCAGTGTGCGTCATCCGTGAACCGCTGCTGCAAAGTCACTGTTGAGCATCTTCTCCCTGGAGATCAATGCACGTATACCTAGTGGCCGGTTGGACAGTCATTTTGCCTTTTATATATATAGATGGCTGGTTGGACGATTGCTTTGCCATATATATATATATATATATATATATATATATATATCACACACACACACACACACACACACACACACACACACATATATATATATATATATATAATGTTTATCCAATACCAAGATCAAAACATTTCCACACATAGATAAGGCTTTTTAAATATTGGTTTGCTTATTACCCTTCAGATCTATTTTGCAGCAGAGAATCACAGAATCACCACCATTGTCCACCCCAAAGTACCTGTGGGGAATGGTTCGTTAAGTGGCAACTGAGATGAAAATATGTTGTGTTAGAGGCTGACTCTAAGGGGCACAAAGATATAAACTGTCCTCCACTCTAAAGTGAAAAGAACTCATCTTTGTGCCTTTGCTTGGCTGCA